CAGAACATGTTCAGTCTGTGTGCATGAGTCTATGGAGTGTTGACTTGAAGATGCAGTTGCAGCTATTGCATGCATGGGCATGTGTTGCAGGAGGCCTCTGCAGAAGCAAGCTCCTGAAGGACTTTATCGAGAAGTGCTTCCAACCTGGCAATGCTCAGGGCAATGTTGTTTTCTAGCTGCATATGAAGTTGGTGACTTGTTCAGTGTGCTTCAATTATCATGCTGCTGGTGATTTTTTTGTTCAGCTGTGCTGCAGGCTCGCCTGGAAGCTGTGTTCAAGATCCGCCAGATCAGCAAAGACTGGCGCAACAGTGTGAAGGGCTTCGAATGGTTGACGCCAGATGAGATGAGGAAATTGAACTGGGCCGAGTGTCTTGGCTGCACATGACAGTTTACATTTATATTGTCGGCATCTAAGCTTGTAAGCATGCACATGGGTGCATTAAACAGATTTGCAGATGACTGCTCTGAAAAACTATGTCATGAATTCAATTTCGTGCTGCCTTTCGTGCTGAAAACTTAACACAATCTCTCTCTCTCTCTCTCTCCATGTGTGTGTGTGCTTATACATATATATATATACAATACATATGAGCTCTCTTGCTACTGTATATAAGAGGGGCTGGGCTTGGACAGCAAATACATCTATAAAAAAATGTGTATGTACATATCTGACATGAACAAACCCTTAAACTCATTGATGTTTGGGTGGTGGAGGTTGTTGCACATGATTATGTAAGTGATCTCAGAACCATTGTGGCTTTGTGCACACACTCCCACTCGCAATCATACACACACACACCAATATATGCATACATATATATATACACACACACATACACACACATATATATATATATGTATGGCACATGTGCTTCATCACTCCTTGTATATCGGCCTGCATGATTTGGTCCTTCCATGTACAGTGTACCTATATATACATATATATATACACACATATTCGTACATGTCCATATCCTGGGTGCAGTTGCTAGGCAGAGATGCTCAGCTGTCTTCGTGCTTCATTTTTGCTGCAATCTGCCTGTCTAAGGAAGAAAGTGCTTGGGGCAATGAGCCATTGCGAGAAAAAAAAGCTCTACAAGAAGTGCCCCTATGATGGCACTAGAAAGTACTTGGTCCAGGTCTCGGACCGGGTGGAGTGCCTGAGCTGCATCTGGAATCCAAGTGCAGCTTCATGCATTGATGGGTGTGCAAAAGCCATGTTAGTATGGCTGCATGTGGGTGCAGAGGGTTCCTGACAAGGCAAGGCTCAGAACGGCTTCGCGAACTCGAGTCTATGATGGAAGACTGTGGTGCCTTGTTCGCTTTATGCTGCTCATTCTCCAATTGGTGTTCTGCTAAGTTAGTATGGGGCTAGGCACGTTCGACGAGAACTTCGACATGTCCCTTGGTGTTGGAGACCTGTTCGAGGATGAAGAGGAGCCAATTCCAGATCCCGCATCTAAGAAGTCAAAAGTGCCAGGCGCTTTGCCACAGCTCGAAGGGGAAGAAAGTGTCAGTGATTATTTGGCCAAATTCAAAAAGGCATGTCTCAGCAAAAAAAAGAGCACCGCGACGTGCTCGACAAGTTGGTGATTGACAAGGTGTCTGGCCATGAGCTGCTAATCTGCATTCTTTATGTATGTATGCTGCCATTCCTATAGATGCAGATTTGTATGATATATGTATAGACATAGACATACGTATATACAGACCTTTGCTAATTATATGAATACCAACATATGTATATATATATAT